TTTTACAACACATTATCTAGACTATCCATTTTCAAGATTTTTGTATGTTTATAGATCCACTTGATTTTAACCATTTTTTAAATTTAAAATTTTATAATTAAATATAAATATATATTTTCAGATAATCCTAAAAATATTTTATACCAAAATTATATATTGTGATAAAATTTGAAAGAGCGTTTTAATTGGATTGTTTAGAGTTGCGCCCTTATAGAAACCACACCCAAATATAAGTAAGTATAATTTAAACGGTTTGGTTTGTATAAAGTTGCAACCTAAAACAAACAAAGTAAGGTGACTCTACATTTATTATAAAATGATATTTTGGTGTTGAAAATTCTTAGAATGACCTGATAGACATATCTCGTTGTCGAGATGCTCAAACAGATAGTTTTTCAACGTCAACACAGCTTGTTTCAATAGATTTTTGAGTTACACCTTAATTCTTCAATATAAGCAGTCAACCTTATATAACATTTTTCAAATTTGAAAATTATTAATAAGAGTTCCTGAGGGAGCATATTGTCCATTTAACCTTGAGGCATTATTTATTTCAAGCCTATCAAGAATGCAATTTGAAATTTTTATTTATGGACAAAGTTTTTATGAGCCCGCTAAAAGTCAGGACCTTCAATTTTCCCTTGACCCGTCTTAAGTAAGGTATCCTGAATTTATGCTGAATGATCCATATAGCCGAGATTATGATGTTTTAATTAATCAGCTGGCTAATCTATTTTTATGAGTGCTCCATTTAGGGGTTGACAATATATACCATGGCAAATATAAATATATATAAAAAATTAGTCCCAAAACTAAAAAATGATGTTAATTGATGTATACTTTTAGACCATTGATTTGTAGAGATTTGTATATTTTAGTGGGACCGCGACCTTTTAACATCCATGATGGACATTAGTCGCGTGCGAGGACGCATATGTATATTTGTGTCCTCTGATGATGCATGCTACACTTTTCCTTCAAGTGTAATACATGGGGGTGCGGTTTGTATAGGATCGAGGCTCTTAGCAATCAAAGTAGCGCATACTTTCAAACAGTATCGAAAAATATAGTTTCGACATTGAAAATATTTGTGATAGCTTTAAAATATATTTTTATTTTTAAATATAAAATTTAAAACTTCAAAAATATTGTAAATTGAGTAGATCTATGAAAACTTAACTATTGACGGTTCAAAAATACATTACAAAATGAACTATTTCTAAAATGTGAAATCCATTTTTTTCTCATGTCCATGCATCTTGAGGTCGAGATAATCAATTTGAAGATATTTGAGCATCAAAATAACATCTTCTAGTGAAATTTTTGAAATGCCCCCTAATTTAATTGGTTGAAGCCTCACACTCATGCTACATCTCCAAAATCTCAGTTCAAAAAATTGCTTTCAGATGGGTTTACCCAAAAAAAAATAGAGTAAATGGATAGTATGCCCCCTTGAAAACATGAAATATTTGACTATAAATAAATAAAAGTTTAAAATAATGAAATAATCATTTATCTAGTTTGTATTTTGGTCGTTGCATGAAGGATGCCGCTGTAAGCTGTTTTGTTCGTAAAATTACAGTGTAATTGCACATTTTAATATGGATATAGTTTCTATAAAGCCTCATTTTTATAAAAATAAAGTAAAGCCTCACCTCAAATACCTACGTGGAAACTACTTTGGGTATTGGAAATCTTTGTAAGGCTCTAAAATCAAATTTTAACGCCCAATGTGAAATCGGAAGCTAAAAAATTTAGAGATCTTGTGAATATGTGAATGTTTATTTTTAGGGAAATAGACGGTCTAGATAATGTATTACATTATATATTATTTATAAGGACTTGAAATCTTAATTTTTTTTTAACAAATATAATAGTCAAGGCTAGAGATCGACTTGAAGGTTTTTCAATGCTACAACTACAAGCTTCTATGAATTTTGAGGTGAGGCTTTACTTACCTTGATAGGCCTGCAGCCCTACCAAAAACACTTTCTACCAAATTAACAACCGGGTGTTAATATCGTGTATCCGATATTTTGATGGTGACTGATCCGCCGCCGACATGCCGAGATCGTCGCCATAAGCCGTTTGGACACGTGAAAGATGCATTAATATTTAAGAGAGAGAAAGAGAAGGGAAAAACAAGAGAGAGAAAGAGAAGGGACAAAAACAAGAGAGAGAAAGAGGAGAGAAGAGACCAAGAGCAACAAGAGAGAGAAGATAAAAGATCGAGAGAGGAGAGAGAACAAACCAATAATAAAGAGATCAAGAGGAGAGAGATCAAGAAGAGAGAGAAAGAGGACAGAAAAAATCATGAATAAGAGAAAGAAGAGATAACCATAAGAGAGAGAAGGAGAGACCAAGAATAAAAGACCGAAAGAGGAGAGAGGAAAGATCAAAAAAAGATAAAAAGATGAGATAAGAGATAAAAAAAATAGAGATAAAAAGAGGAGAGAGAATATATCAAGAATAAAAGAGAACAAGAAGAAGACAGAGAACCAACCAAAAATAAGAGAGAGATGATAGAAGAGATCAAGAAGAAGAGAGAGAAGATATCAAGAAAAAAAGAAAAATAGGATAGAAGAGATCAAAAAAAAGAGAGAGAATATAGTAAGAATAAGAGAAAGAAAGAGGAGAGAAATGACCAAGAAAAAGAAGGAGAAAGAGGAGAGAAGAGATAAAAAACAAGAGATAAAGAGGAGAGAGAACATATCAAAAAATAACAGAGATAAAGAGAAAAGACAGATACGAAGAACAGACAGAACAAATCAAGAAGAGAGATAAAAAGACGAGAGAGAATATATAAAAAATAAGAGAGATAAGAAAGAAAGAGAGAGAACAAACAAAAAATAAGAGAGAGAAAGAGGAGAGAAGAGATCAAGAAGAAGAGAAAAAGAGGAGAGAAGAGACCAAGAAGAAGAGAGAAGATATGAAAAATAAGAGAGAAGAAGAGACCAAGAATTAGAGAGAGAAAATAAGGTGCCGAATAAGATCACTATTCCAAAACCGGCCTTCAAAGCCACCAGGAAAAATACTACAAAAGTAATAAAAAAATATTGTCTGACCTGTATATCATAGCGTTTGCTAGCTTAGGGGATTGACCATTATTATAGATGAAGTTATCAAAATGACAGGTGTGTATAACACAAACAAAGGTGGAATGTATTGAATACGCGGAAATAAAAGATAAATTTATGCTAATATCCTCTAAAATTATCATTACTTTAAAAAAATTAAATAAAACTTAATTTTAGGTTTATATCTATTTTTAAAATTTAAATTTTTTTAAATTACTTCGCTTTGGACCTTGAAATTCCAAAGTTATTACCAAGTTAACCAAAGTGTAAGGTATTTGTTTTCTTGAACCTTAAGGTATAAGGTATTTGTTCATGAACATCAACTTCTAGCATTTCATTGATGCGTAGAATTTGCGCTTTAAATCCAGCCAAATGACTTCATTTTATTACGTATTTATAGTTTCAAATCAACTTTGGACTTTTAAAATTTGAAATTGATTTTTATTAAATAAATTCAAGATCTTGAAGATTTAAAATTGATGATTGAAACAAATCTAATTCATTAAATTTCAAAATAAATTTATTTATTTTAAGTAAATGCACTTATCGGGGGGGGGGGTTATAGCGGTTGAGGGGAACTAGAGTAAGTTTATAAGCAAAAAATATATATTAAATTTTAGATCTTCAATGTTCAAAGTAAAATTAATATGAAAAAAAGCAAAAAATGTAAAACTCATGTAGAAGCTTAAAATCAAACTTTTTGAGGGGTATTATTTGAATAACATTAATTTAAATGGATATTAACATGAAGGAAAATGTTTATATACAGCCCAAGCCGAGGCTCTAAACAATCAAATGAGAGCCTCTTCAAAAATTTCATTGGAACAGGTGGTTTTGATGCCCAAATATCCTAAAATTGACCATCTCGACATCAAGATGCATAGACATGAGAAAAAATTGGATTCAAATTTTAGAAATAGTGCATCTTGTAATGCATTTTTGAACCGTCAATTTTCAAGATTTTCAAGTTTTTATAGATATGCTTGATCTACACTATTTTTGAATATTTAAAAATTATAATTAAATGTAAAAATATATTTTAAGACTATCACAAAGATTTCTAGTATTGAAACCACATTTCTCGATACTATTTGAAGGTGCATTTTATTTTGATTGTTTAGAGCCTCGGCTCTATACAAATTGAAAGTACACTTTATTTTTATTGTCTAAAGCCTGGCTCTATACAAACCGCACCAAACCAAAAAATAAAAAAAAATAAAAAATAACTAAATACTTTATTTATTTATTTATTTTACCTTAGAGGTTTTATGGGCTTTTAATAAGACCAGGGGGTTAGTTTTTTTTAGAGGTAGGGGAGGAGTCTTGATTGTACGAGATGTTAGTATAACCGAAGAAAATGTAGGGGGCCTAACCAAAGCCCAAAAAATGATATTTAAAAAAAATAGAAACTAGGATATTCCTCCGAAGAATTTCAAGAAGGGGAATAAATGTAAAAAGAAAAGATATTTAAAAGAAAAAAAGATTTTGAAGAAGGGGAATAAATGGATTTCTCCAAAAAAAAAAAAAAAAGGCCAAAAATGATATTTAAAAAAAAAAAGAATTTCAAGAAGGGGAATAAACGGATATCTCAAAAAAATGATGAAAGCCAAAAATGATATTTAAAAATAAAAATAAAAAAGTAGAGTATGCCTCCAAAAGAAGAATTTCAAGAAGGGGAATAAATGGATATCTCATAATAAAAAAAAGCAAAAAAAAGCTGAGAAAATAAAGAGAAAATATATTTAGTGCTTTGATCGAACGCGTCTCTGCAAACCTAAGCCAAGAAAGAGAGAATCGAGTGCTTTTTGAAAACCACTTTTGTTTCTTTTTTTCTCTCTCTTTACCGAAAAAAAATTAAACGTTGAGCGGTTTGATATAGGTACATTCGATTCTCCCTTCCCTTAATTTAGTTTCCACCTTTTTCCATCTCATCTGTGTTGAATTTGCCTCAATCCACAAAATATCGAATACCTCCACTTTGAAAAGCCGAATACCCACCTTGAAAATCCTGTGAAAACTGGTTTTTCAGGTGAACACCAACTTTTTCGGGCTAAATCGTTTTTAACGGGAGATCCTCGATTTATTGTGGAAATTTCGAGTAAATCGTTCCCATTTATCACCCATATTCATATTTAAAACTTCATTTCATCACCCATTTTACTGTTCCCTTACTGCAAATTAGGTTGTGGTTTTCCAGGCGTTTTGTTGGGATTAAATCCCTGGGGATAATCGGTTTAAAGAAACTTGGGAGATTGGTTTTCTGTGTAGGGTTTCGCTTGGATTTAGTCTGAAACTTAGCGGTTCTCAGGTGATATTAGGCCGTATTCTGATCAAGGTACGAGATCGATTTTTATTGTGGGTTTATCATAGACTTGTTGGTCACATTTAGCCATATTGGTTTCTTGTTAGAAGCTTTGTTTTCTAGCAATTGGGTGGTACCAGGTGTCATAAAAAGGCGTTTTTCTTGTGGAAACTCCCCATTAATACTTTCTATCGTTGCATTTCATCGATCGATCTTGTTGCTTTTTCTTTTGTTTTTTATTGATAAAGCCATACCCAATTTAGGTGGTTTTCTCTGACAAAAAAGCGGTATTTCTTCACCCCACCTGCCAAAAATCCCTAGATTATCTATCCGATCATTTATTAGAGAATGGGAGATCGATTTACCAGTTCGGTTTTTTGTTAAACCCCAATTTTGGGCCATTTTCTGATCGATTAAGGCGGTTTTCCAGTTATACAATGAAGGCCAGAGATTTGGACGACTGGAGGGAGTTTTTCAGAGAAGCTGGTTCTGATATCTTCTCTGTTATTGAATATGCAATCACCATAGCAGCCTCTGATTGCCCAAAAGAATTCAGATTAAGGAGAGATAAGATTGCAGAAAGACTCTATGCCTGTAAATTGATAAGGTGTGGTGAGTGCGATAATGTTACAGTTGCAATGCCCGGCGAGGAGAGGGAAAGTGGTTTTGAGGGTGGAAGTGGCGGTAAAGAAAGCAAGGTGAATAGCAGCAGTGATGATGTCGATAGAAACAGGATAAGCAATTACAGTTACGATGAGGCGGAGGCCTTGACAGAGGAGATTGAGGAGGAGAGCGAAATTGTTAGGGAGGTTTGCAGGATCAAAGAGGTCTTGAGCAATTCAGATGAGGTGGGTTTCTGTTCCTTTCTCTCTCTCCATCTCCCTTCCTTCTTCGTATGTGTGTGCTCTATTAGTGGTTTTTAGAAAGGATTTTTATGGGTCTTTTGTATCCCTGCAATTTTACTGTATATGGACAACTTCCAATCTCTCTGTCAGCACAATCTTCCTACTGATGTTTTTTTGCCCTTTTTTGGAAAACAATGGGTATTTTATCGAACCCTGCCAATTTTCACAGTATATGGCTTGGATTTTGGAGCATTTAATTTTGAGGTCTAATTAGTGCAATTCTCATAAAGATTGTGTTAAAAGTGTTACACATCCCTCCCTCCCTCTCTCTCTTTCTCCCCCCTCCTTGGTTTAAAAGAGAGGAGGTATTCCTTAGCTTCCCCTTCTCTCTCTAGCCATTTGCCTTTCAGATTTTAGGAAAAACTGTTATTATTGCATCTGCAACTTTGCTTGTCATTTATCAGTACAGGGTTTTACTGATCACCAGTTAGCATTGTTTGATGTTGGGGTCTTAGTTTTCATTTCTCACTTTCAATGGAATTCTTCTTGGATGATGATGGTGGGGATTTCCATCCAGTTTTTAATTCTCATGATATTTTCTTGACCTATTTAGTTTGTGGGTTTTCATTCTCTTGCAGTGTTTGCCATCTCTATTGATTAGTATTGGCCTGCATACTTTTAATCAAAAACTTATAGATTATTATGGAGTTGGTTTTGATGTGGGTATTTGGTTTGGTTGATGATTGTTGCAGTCTCATGGGTTGTTGTATGAGTCATTGAGGAGGCTTCAGTTAATGCAACTCTCTGTGGAAACATTGAAGGTGAAAAATGTTACCTTTTTGCAGATTTACCATTTCTAGTTTTAGATGGGTTGTTGCTCTCTCTCTCTCTCTCTCT